TCTTGGTTTTAAGCTTCCAAGAGAAGCTTTGGCCTCTTTTCTCTATAAAGGAAGGGCCTCCCTTCCTTTGCAAGGGTTCAGAACCTGGTTTGAGGCATACATACACCTTTCCCTATATCTCTTTATTTCAAGCTCCAAAGACCTTTGTACTTGGCCCATTTCCACTACACCTCTTAGCCTAACACCTCCAACACCAACCTAAGCTTCTTGGAAGGTCTTGAGAGGTCCTAAGGTCTGAGTTTTTGGTCTCAAAGTTGTTGGAGTTGCTGAGCTTCAAGGGTAACACTTCTTTCCCTCTTTTTGACATTATTTTGCTTCATATCTTAGCTCCATTTGTAAGCATATTTGGGCTTTGTCATAAACTTAAAAAAGTCTTATTTTGAGATCCTCTTGAAGTTTGTTTAAGGTCATTTTCTGTTGGGGGTCATCTACCCCCTTGCATGCTTGTTTTCATCTTGTTTTGAGCCATGCATTTAGGCCTTAGTATTATGCTTTGTTTGGCCTTTTAGCCACTGAAATCCAGTAAATTTTCAGTGGCTAGCATACTGTTTTGAGCCCAAAAATCAGAGAGGGGTGACCCTCTCACCCCTTGTTTTGTTTACTAGCATTGTTGGCCTTTCAAAGGAGCCCATATTTGCACACTTCTTGAGCATGTTTCAGGCCATTTTTGGTCAGTTTTAGGATCTGCATGAGCTCTGTCTAGAGCATTTTTTTGCCACATTAGGTGTCCCTCTTGCATGTGTAGAATAACCCTCTTCATAGCATATCAAAGGAGCCTATACTTGCATGCTTCCTAGCCTCATTTCAGCCCCTTTTCAGTGAGTTTTAGGGCCTACATAACCTCTACCCCGAAATGGTTTTGTTATATTGGGTGTCCATCTTGCATGTGTAGAACAACCCTCTTCATGGCCTATCAAAGGAGCATCTCATTCTTGCATGCATAGACCATGATTCAGTGAGTTTTTGGGCTTTATTTGGCATTTCATACCTCTAACTTTTTCTGGTTTAGTGGCCTCTTGAATGCTTGATATACTTGTAGTGTAAACCCTCTTCACTAGCTTGTATTGCATGTTGTTTTGGCCCTTAATTCTAGCACTCTTTGGCCATGCCTTAACCTGATTTTGTGCATGTTTTGGACTGCCTTAGCTCTGTTTTTGTGCTTCATGGTCGAATGATGCATGCTATGCATGGTTGTAGTTCAATATCCATGCCTAGCCTTGAGTTTTGTAGCCTCTTGCATGTTTGAATAGAGGTGTTTGCATGTCTTGGCATCATTGTGCATGTTATTTTAGACCTCATACCTGTGCCATGTTCCCATGTTTTTGACTCCTTAAGTGCATTTGAGAGTTATGCTTGTTTGCCTCATTTTTAGGCCATTGCATGAGCTTCATTTCCATGCCTTTTGAGCCACCATTTTAGTCCATATTTGCTACTGAAACATACTTGTTTTGGGACTTCCTTGAATATGTCTTCACATTTCATGTTCAAATAATGCATGTTTTGTATAGCTATAGGCCAATGCATAGGCCTAGTTTTGCATTTCGGTTTCATTTCATGCATTGGGTGCCATGTTTCCATGATTCGGGACTGTTTTGGGTCATATTTTTGCCTCTGAAATTTGCATGCTAGTATGCCATATTCCATGCTTTGTCATGTCTTGTTAGAGTGGCATTTCGTGCCTTAGGGTCGATCATCGGTTTGCGTGCATGTGTGCACGCATTTCGAGTGTCTCATTTTCATATCAATGGCCTCTTATGTGAGTGTGGCTGAGGTCCACTCATATTGGTGTAAGTCCATCTTGCATTTGTATATGCCATTTAGTTCATGTGCGCATGATAGTCTTCGTAAGTGCATTGTGTATGCCATGTTATGTCACGTGCATTGTGTATGCCATTTTAGCCCATAGCATTGCGTATGCTGGGTTGCATGTTAGTCGCATTGTGTATGCCATCTCATTGCATTGTGTTTGGAGTAGGGTTAGTCCAAACACAGGAAACGAGGGGCGTTTCGTACTCAAAGTGACGAAACGTGTCTCAATTTTCGGTCGCCGACACTCTTGACTATCCATGATAGAGTTGTTGGCTTTTGATGCTTATTTGTGCTTTCATGTCACATCAAGTCGTGTAATTTGACTCCTCGGCCATCATGCATCGAGATACGTGATTGGTGGTCCGAGGATCGAGGGTTACACACCCTAGAGCCTATGCTATGACGGGGAGAGTGGTCATGCACACAATTGTTGAAAATACATTGCATTTTCTCCCTCTTGCCTTTGTTGCAGAAAAACCAGAAACCAGAGATGGAAACTGGTCGGCCGACCAGATTTTCTGGCAGGGCGACCACCCTCTTTGGTCTCCACCACAAAGGGTGGTCGGCAGGTGGTCTCCCATGCTAATAACTGGTTGGTGGCCCTCCCAAGATGGAGTTTCAGCCTTCTGGAGCTTTGTGCAAGTTTCTGAGATCAATTGCAAACAAAGGCGAGGCGAGGCGTCGCGATGGAATTTCCCAACAAGGCGACCTGAGTATGCATACATCCTTCATCATTCGGAACAGAGCTGAGGCAGTCCATTACACATAGCATAGCATGCTAGTTTACTCTGCTTACCTAATTCATTTGTTAAGTAATTAGTATTGTATAATAATTCATTTTTTATTTTGGTTGTGTAATATTCTTTCAGACCCTCCAAGAGAGGGCCAGTTGTTGTAATATGTGTGCGTGTGTGTGATGTATGTCTTTCAACCCCACGTCTTTCTCGCTTTTATTTACCAGCTTATGATGGTTAGTTTAGGGCATGTTTCAATTAGCATACTTTTGATAGCGTGTTTGCATTCATTCATCTGTCTTGCATGCACCGGGCTCGGCGCATCATACTAACTGCATTGTATTTCAATTCTGAGTTGAATACTTGTTAGTTGTAGCATTTCACATGCCATCTTTAGAATAGCCGAGCCTATCTTAGTTGCATTTTGCATGTGTTGCATTAGGCAACATAGTTAGGATCATGCATGGATTTCTAACATAACTTCTGTTTTGGCTTGGAGTACTCGGTAATTGTTTATGCTTTAGCATCCTTGCATGTGTGTGAGTGACTGCCATGATAGCATGCTTACCACAAGGCTATGTGCTTATGTGATATACCTGCCTGAATGCCTGTGGGTGAAGGTTGGATTATCTGAATTGGAATAATGCATTGACTATAAGTTTTAAGCCCACTTGGGAGTGGCAAACCATCATGTTTTCTAAGCCTACCCGAGGGTGGCAAATCCACGTCTTAGCCTACTTGCGGGTAGCACCATCAAACCATTTTCAAAATAAACAAACATGAGATGTGTTGTTCCAATTCAGGCGATCCAGTCTATACTTGTATGCTATGCGCATCACATAGTAAATCGAGATTAATAACTGGAATAAGAATGCATAATGTTTTCAAAACTCGATATCAAGGTTAGTAGAGGCCGATCTTTGATTGAACGAGCGGGGGTGCTCACGAAGTGACCTTCCCTAATCGTACCCAAGTTCCAGAGCTGAGGCAACTTTGGTGATGACGGACACGTGGCCTTCGGCACGAGTTAAGGTTTCCTAAATTTCTCCAAAATAAAATATTTAGGTGGCGACTCTGTATCTGGCAAAGCAGTCCATGTTTGGCACTTCTTTCTAAAAATCTGTTTTCCAAAATAATTTGTCAAATTTGGACTCTTTGATGGTTCATCAGTCTTGCATTGCACTCTGCGAGATTAGATACAGAACCGTGACTTTTAAGTCCGAACTGTAGTGAGCCCAACGAACAAAACGGGATTTCCCTCCCGGGAAGTTCGGGGACGTCTACAATGTATTGAGGTCAAAATTTTCTCTTTCATCTCTATTACTGTTGTTAAAGGCTCAAATATGTGTTCAAGGCTCATATTTTGAAGGTCTTCTTGATGATGATAATGATGATGACCATTTTCCAACATTTTGAATAGGTTGCATTCATAGATCTATCTCTAGGGGGTTTTTTTATCTTTTTTTTTTTTTGTGGTAGATCTGTGCTAGATTTATTTATTTATTTATTTTTGTGTGTACAGTTGTTCATGATGATCGTTGTTGTTGAAAATTGTTGTTAATGATGATGGTGTTGGTGAAACATATTGCAACAGATAGGGAGGAAAAGAGAAAGATACAAATAATTTGAAAAGATAGATATAAAAAATTGAATAGATAAGAGGAAAAAAAATGAACAGATAATAAAATGGCACAGATTTTGAACATATAGAGAGAGAAACTCACAAATTTTAAACAGATAGAGAGAAACCTACAGATTTTGAATAGATAGGGAAAAAATTCAACAGATAGTCAAAAAAATTGAACAAATAAACAAAAATTAAACAGATAGATATGAATTTGAACAGATAGACAAAAAAATTTAAACAGATAGAAAATAATTTAAACATCTAGATATAATTTTGAATAGATATTCAATGAAAAGTCAAACAAGTAAAAAAGAGTCTAGGGGTATAATTGGAAACAAAATATCTTCCACAACTTCTTACCAAACTATTTCACAGTGTGAATCTATCACCAACAAAAAAATATCCGATAGACCTAATGCATTAAACAATTGTTAGAGTAGATTTTTCATTAATTTTCTCTTTTGAAAAAATAATTATAAATCAATGAAAAATTTTATAAATATTAATAATTATAATTACAATTTTTTTCATAAATTTATATTTATATATATATATATATATTGACATTCACTGGAATGTAATTGCCCAAAAAAATAAACCAATTGATTGCCTGCGTGCTCTTTTTTTCAAAAACATATAATAATAATAAAAAAAAATCTACATTGAAACTAAATTATTCTTGTCTTGAAATAAAAATTAAAATTATACAACATTGAAGATAAAACAAAACAAGCGAAGATAAAGGCGGCCATGTCACCAGAAGCAACGGTCCATCTTGGAGTAACAGGAAGCTAGGATCAGCCACAAAAAATCTTCGCCCAACTCCACAATGTCATTTACTCTGCCTTTTGAGCTCTTCTTATTCTTATCATCTTCATCCAAAATAACATACAAACAATCCCAACAATGACCAGCTTCACCAACCCCACAACTCTCTTTCACCCCCAAAACCTCCACCACCACCACCATCAAAACAGGCCACTGCCACTCTCATTAATCCGATCATCATTTTCCGGCGAAGAAAAACCAACCCACCATCATCATCACCACCACCACCGTCGAAACATTGTGACAACATTGGTAGTCACTTCCATAGCACTTGGGCTACACCAAGTCAGTCCAGTGGCACTAGCAGAGAGCTGGGGCACACGTTCATTTCTAAGAGAACGTTTCTTCGAGCCGGGGTTGTCGCCTGAAGATGCGGCGGCGAGAATCCGGCAGACGGCGGAGGGACTGCATAGCATCAGGGAGATGCTGGAAACAATGTCTTGGAGGTATGTGTTGTTCTACATTCGACTCAAGCAATCCTATCTCTCTCAGGATATGCAAAATGCCATGTCTACTGTGCCCGAAAACCGCCGACAGTCTTATGTCAATGCTGCCAACGAGTTGGTTGACAACATGGCCGAGGTATGTTTTCTTAACTTCATTCAGAATAATTCTGGGTATATCATGAAAATTTATCAAATTTTTTTTTTTGATGAAAGTGAAGTGGATTGTGTAAATTTAAAGTCAGCTTATTGTAAACTATACACATTGGATTTTTTTTTTCACATATTTAAATTATGGATAAAATTTAGGACAATCTTTTTTAATTATGTAATATAATTGTTTTGATTCATCTCATAACTTTAGAGTTATTCATCAGGTTGTGAATTAGCCAAGTCAAGTTGAGCTTAAGTTTTGAAAATTTAATCAATTTTAAAATGTATTTAAATATTATTTTATTTTAATTTTTTTAATCAATTAGCATTAAATGATTAAGCTAATTAGGAGCTAAATTTGGGTAACTTAATTTTTCATAGTTTATATAAATTTATCAACAAATGTTAGAAAAAAGGGGATAATGAAGAAAGTGTGATTCGGAAAATTGTGGAGATGAAAACTCAAGACAAGGAAAGATTAACTAAAAAGAGGATGAATGATGGGGCTTAAGTCTGCACCCGAAGGAGATTTTGGAGTCAAAGTTGTTTCTAAGTGAAAGTTCTCTCATGGAATGTTAGAGGCTTGGATAAGCTTGAGAAAAGAAGGAGGATCAGAAATTTCATAAAGAAAAAAATGGTGGATATGGTTTTGATTCAAGAAACGAAAAGTCAAGTGTTGATGAGATTTTTGTCAGATCTCTCTAGCTAGAAGATGAACTGGGTAGATGGAGATTGATGCAGAAGGGAGTGCAGGGGGTTTGTAATGTCTGTGGAAACCTTATGTTTTTTAGGTTAAAAATTGTTGCAGCTCAAGGAATTTCATTTTGCTATCAGGCTTGGTTTATCGTAGAGTTGATTGTGTCATTGGTAATGTCTATGCTCCTAATGATAGTCAAGATAGAAGTCGTCTTTGGTTGGTCCTTGCTAATTTAAAAGTATCATTTCCAAAACCTTGGTGTTTGGGAGGGGGGGATTTTAATAAAATTAAAACTACAAGGGAAACAAAAGGTTGTACGATAAGTGATAGGGGGATGCAGGAGTTTAATGAGTTTGCAAATAATCTTGAATTGGTTGATGTTCCTATGTGTGGTAGGAAATATACCTAGCGTAATTTATAGTCAGGTGTATGTTGGAGTCGAATTGATAGATTCTTATTAAATCTGGAGTGGCTTGAGTGGTTTAACTTTAAGGTGTGGGGCCTTCCTAGAATTTTGATTGATCATTGCCCAATACTATTAAAAGAAGATGAGCGAGATTAGGATCCCAAACCATTCAAATTTATAAATGCTTGAGTGTTACATCCTAGCTTTATCAAAGAAGTCAAAAAGGTTTGGAATGCTACACAAGTGGAGAGGTGGGCTGGCTTCAGAATTATGGTCAAACTGAGATCACTTAAACATGCATTGAAGATTTGGAATGTGGAGGTATTTGGTCATGTAGAGTCTAAGCTCAAAGCAGTTGAAGTTCAGTTACATTCTTGGGATCTCACTGCTGAAGGGAGAAATCTTCTAGAAGATGAAGTTAGAAAAAGAATTGAGGTCAGAAATGAAGTATGGAAGCTTAGAAAAAGGCTAGAGTGGATCTGGTTGCAAAAATGCAAACTTAATTGGGCCTTAAAAGGGGATAAAAATAACAGGTACTTTCATATAATGGCCTCTAGAAAGCAAAGTATGAACCTTTTTGACTCATTGAAGATTAATGATACTCTATATGAGGAACTTGTAGAGTTAAAACAGGCAGTGTGGGCTCACTTTAAAGGTTTGTTCGCTGCAGGGTGGAAGATTAGACCAAGACTAAGGGGAGAGTTTAGATGCATTGATCAATGTCAGCTTCAGAATTGTTTGGTGAAGGATTTTTCAGAAGCAGAGGTCTGGGCTGCAATCAAGGAATGCAATGGTAATGAAGCTCCAGGTCCATATGGGTTTAATTTGACTTGCATTCATAAGGGATAGAAGTTCATGAAGGGTGATATCATGGAATTCATGAAAGAGTTTCATCATAATCGTGTTTTGGGTAATGGAATTAATTGCTCTTTTGTGACCTTTGTTCCTAAAGTTGATAGTCTTGACTCAACTAAAGATTTTAGGCCTATCAGTCTTATTAGTTCAGTCTATAAAGTGGTGTCTAAAGTGTTGGCCAACAGGTTTAAATTAGCACTGCCAAAAATTATTGATAGAGTTCAATCAGCTTTACTAAGTGGAAGGAATATTATGGATGGTATTCTTGTAGCAAATGAGATTGTGGACTGGTGGAATAAATCTATAGAAAGGGGCTAATCATTAAGCTTGATTTTGAAAAAGCTTATGACACTATTAACTGGAACTTCCTCATTCAGATGTTGAAGAATTTTGGCTTTGGTACTACGTGGACCAAGTGGATAAAGGGCTGCATTTCTTCTGCAAGAGTTTCAGTTCTTGTCGATGGCTCACCATCACCAAAGTTCTGCCCCCAAAAAGGGATATGGCAAGGTGATCCATTATCCCCATTCTTATTTAATGTTATAGCTAAGGGTCTGAATATCCTCATTTCAAGAGCTAAGGATATGGGTCTCTTTAAAGGTATTTCAATTGGTGATAATGGCTTCAATGTATCTCACTTACAATTTGTAGATGTCACAATGATTTTTTGTAAGGTAGAATGGTCTGAAATATTGGCTATTAAAAGAATCCTTAAGTGTTTTGAAGTAATCTCAAGTCTAAGGATTAATTTTTACAAAAGTGTTGCGTGTGGGGTGGGTGTGGCAGTTGTATTGGTTGAGGAATTTGTTGCAAAATTGAATTATTTAAGCAAGAAGTTATGTTTGAAGTATCTAGGACTTCCATTGGGGGCCAGTCCTAGTAGGAGATTGACTTGGAGGTCGATTGTCGAGAATTTCAAGAAGAAGTTATCTGGGTGGAAGAGAAGAGTATTGTCATTTGCTGGTAGAGTTACACTCATTAAGTCTCTGTTGTCTGCTTTACCTGTATATTACATGTCTCTTTTTAAAATGCCAAAGTGTGTTGCAAAAGAGATTGATAGGATTCAAGCATCATTTTTATGGGATGTCTCAGAGCATAACAGGAAGCTCCATCTAGTTAGGTGGAAAGAAGTATGTATGAGCTTGACACAAGATGGTCTGGGGATCAAAAATATCAGGTTAGCCAATAACAGTTTTCTATTGAAGTGGTGGTGGAGGAATGGTCAGAAAGATGAGGCATTATGGAAATTGGTTATTTGTGATAAGTATGGCTCTGTTGGGGGAAAATGGTACCCTGATCAGGATGCTCATGGTCCTACATCTCAGATTTGGAAAGATATATTATCAGTGACTCAAATGAATGGTAGAATTTTTCAATTCCATAAGGATAATGTGGAAATTTCAATAGGAAATGAAGAAAGAATTAGTTTCTAGAGAGACATTTGGTTAGCTTCAACAAACCTATCAAACCAATTTCCTAGATTGTTCCAGTTGGTTAATGATAAAAAGATTTCATTGAGTATACAAGTAACTACAAGATCTAGTCAATCTGGGTGGGATTTCAATTTTAGAAGAGCACTTCGGGCTTGGAAAGAAGGTGAGTTGGTCATATTAATCACTGCTTTGGGGACTGGCCCTGTTTTAAGAAGTGATTTAGTTGATTGCTTGGGGTGGAAGTCTTCACGGTCAAGTATATTCTAGGTTAATCTTGTTTATGCTTGGGGATTGATTAATGATGGTCCCAGTCACAAATCAGTTGATCTTATATAGAATAATTTCTCACCACCTAAAGCAAAAATTTTCTCTTGGTTAGCTTGGAGAGGAAGACTGAAAACAAAAGAAATGCTGCATAGGTTTGGAATTTTGAAAGGGGAAGATGTCCTAAATTGTATCTTCTGTCATTAGGGTAGAGAATCAATTCACCATGTTATGCTTCATTGTCCTTTTGTTTGGAAAATTTGGTCTGCTATTGTTGTATTCTATTCCCAGCTCCATTGATGGTTTATTACTTTGGTGATTGGGTTGGAAGTTTAAGAAGAAAGTTAATCTGGTTTGGAGGGTTTTACCAGCAGCAATATTGTGGTTTGTGTGGAGATATTGCAATGATTGTGTTTTCAAGGCAGTTCATCTTTATTTTCATGATCTGTGTAAGTGTATCAAGGTGAGGATAGCAATTTGGATGAGATCTCATCTCAGTGGTGCCTCATTCTCAGTTAATGATGTTGTGTTCAATTTTCATCAAGTTAAAAGTTGTTTAGGATCTTCATGAGCTATTTTTGGTATGGGGGAGTATTGGGTGTAGGGTCCATGATTTATTTTGGTATATGCTGAGCTGCTGATGGAGATTGAGCTGCTGCTATGGGTGTTTTTTCTTTGTTCTCTATCCATTGATTGAGTTGCTACTGTGGGTGTTTTTTTTCTTCTCTACAGTGGGTTCTTTTGTTTTGTTGGTCATGGTTTCTCACCAACCCTTTAGCTTGAATTAGCATATGATAGGGTGTTTTCCTTGGTGCCGACATAGTTGAGAGGAAGGGTTTCGTTGTAATGCTTTTTGCTCTTTGCCTTCGCTTTATTGATGTTATCCATATATATGTATGTTTGATGCTATCAGTAGAGTTTTTTGCTGATCAAAAATAAATAAATAAATAAATAATCAACAAATGTCAAAAATTAACGAGTATCAAAATATTTAATTGAACTTAGATTTTTTATTTTTATTTTTTTATATGAGTTTTGTTATCAAAATGGTTAAATTTAATTTGTTTGTATAAAAATTAAATCTTTAATGAGGCAAACACAAATAAACTTTAATTTATTTTACAATCCTAATTATTCCTTAGTATCATATAGTCTATGCTTATATTTTATTTCAAAGCAATTTTTTTTTTTTTTTTTGTCAATCGATAGGAGAGTAATTATAAGTATGAAAAATATTTACATCATCAAAATAGATTATTACCCCATAATAACTAAAAAGTCAACAAAGTCTAACACGACCAATATACCAAGCTCAAGCAGATAAACTATATCACCACAACTCCGTAATAGGGTAGAAATAAACAACTAGATAAACCATATCACCACAACCCTATAATAGAAGATAAATAAACTATCACCGTAAAGAGTATCAAACTTCTATCATCGTAAAGGTATCAAATTTCTATCCATAAGAATTGAATATAAAATCTCACGTCACAAAAGGTGTTACAGAGTTACTAAGTCAAAGCAAATGATTAGCGAAGGTGATATGTGTCAATACTTTCATGCCTCGGTATGTCAAAGTGTTGAAAGGATAAAAGGAAGGTTCACTACCTCGGCGTTGCATTTAATTTAAGGTTGTATTTGATTTATAAATTTGGGAAGAGATTTTAAAAGAAAAGGATAAATTGTGAGAGAAATATAGTTAAATTTTATTCGCATTTTACTTACCTTTACTCTTTCAATTTTCAAATTTCTACTCAAATACATAAACCAAACACAAAGTAATTGAAGTCCGCTAAATTCATTAATTCAACTCAAAACAAATTTGTCTTTTAATAGATTGTGGAACAAATGAGTTTAATTTGAACAATCAAATGTTAAAATTGCGTTTGATTCATGAATTTAAATAAAAGTTTAAAAAAAAAAAAAGTGAAATATAAATATAATATAATTACATTTTATACACTTTTCACACTCTTTTTCCTTTTCTATTTCCCTTTTCCAAATTATTGATCAAAACATAGTCTAAGGTTATGTTTTAATCATAGATTTTCATAGAAATTTGAAAAGAAAAATGGAAAAGGGAACAAATAAACTGTATGTGAAAAGTAGTTTTATTTCAATCATACTTCACCAACTTTTTCTTTTTTTCTTTTTAAATTCCCATATAAATTGATAATCTAAACGTAGCCTATTAAAGTTTGTGTTTTTTACCCCAAATCCATCTTTTAGTAATCCACTGCATCATATTGATCAGAGAATTGAGTATGTCCAGAACAAATGAAGAGAATCCAACTTATGATTAATGGGAGTTGAAATTTATGTAATGATTCAATATAACAGTGAGGTTTTACTGGGATTCCAATTAACAAAATTTACTTCTTATGTTACGTAATTGCAGTTTGATAACTACATTCGGACGCCAAAAGTTTACGAATCGTATGTATACTATGAGAAGACCCTGAAATCAATAGATGACCTTGTCGCATTGCTAGCATGACTAGACAGTAATGGAGATTCATCAGAGGCTCACAATGAATGTCAATGTTTTTTTCCTGAGTATTTTTTTGGTGGTGGTGGTTATCTTGAATACATCATAAATGCTATTAGCTCAGAAAGTTGTGTTCATAATCTTACCAAGAAAGTAAATGTACATTGTAAACTCTATTTTTATATTGCGGGATCACGCTTTTGAATATTTTTCTTAGATAGATTTTCAGGATGTATTGCTTGAATATATGTAGTTGAATTTATATTAGAAATGTATTCTTCTTTGATTTGCTAGAGATGAGGATGGAGTGGCTATGAGATACAAAGTTTATTACAATGTTTAGTGGTGTAGCTAGAAAGTTAATTTAGTGGTGTCATTTAGTTAATTATTATTGATATCTTTATTTCATATTAATTGAGTAAAGATTGTAATTTTTAATCGATTGAGCAAAGAGAGAGAAAAAAAAATGTAAACATTTAATAATTCTATGCTCGAATGAAGAATAATTTTTAATTTATTTTTATCTTTTTGTCAATCGGTAGGAGATTAATTACAAATATAATAACTATTATATCAAATTAGAAAATAAAATTCTAACAATGTACCAAGCTCAATAACATTGTTAGGTTTTTGTAATTGGCAATCCCACTTGACAAAATCCTTTCAGTTTTACACTACAACAAAAAAAGGTTTTTATGACGTGCAATGGGCGCCATAAAACCCTTCTACGACGTGCAACGTAACGTTATATTATGACCAGTCATGGAAAGTCATTCACTTTCAACGACATGCCATAGTACGCCGTTAAAAACTATTTAACACAGATTTTGTGCGTCGTTTTTACTTTTTCTATGACTATTTTTGCACGCCATTAATTGGTGGGACAAATAACAACGCTGATTGAGCGTCGTAGATTAATATGTAATACAACGACTTGCTCAGCCTACCGTAGATAAGTAGAACATACCACAGCATTCATAGAATGCTGTGGAATGTCATATGATGGCCTAATTTGCTTGACGTAGAATGTGCATTATTTATTTATTTATTTTTAATTCAACAAGTTCTATTTTGACTTGTTTTGTACAATCTAACAAACATTACAAACAAGCTTCACAAAATACCAATCAATCACCAAAATATTGTTTCAAGCATAAAAAATAAACTACATCCGTAAATTATGAATATTCAAAAATTGTCAATACATTCCAAACATCCAAAAACTAACCATAAGTTCAAAATCATCCAAAAGGATTATCCTTAAGTTCTTAATTATCCAAAAAGTTATAAACCATCCAAAACTGTATCATATATAAGTTTGTAAACAAAATCCAAAACTATATAAGGATTATAGAAATCTATTCATCAAAATTCTCAAAAACTAGCCATCACCATCATCATCGTCATTGCTACTATTGGGCTCATACTCATCATCTGAACCATCTCCTCCATCATCCTGTAACATTCATCGACATGTGACTAATGGAATGGGGATCAATACAGTTAAAAGGCAAAAATAATCCAAAATAAGGAATGGAAATAAAACACAAAATAATTATTATTATTATAATCTAACGTCAAGCAAGAACAGTAGTTTATAAATATGACTCGTGATCCAAAAACATTATATGAAGAAGGATATCAAGTCGCAAAACATTGTACCATAGAAATAATTTAAAACATTAACTTCCAAATCCTTATTGGTGCATAAATAGAGGAACACGCATGCTGATTTCAAAAAGATCATCACAAACATATAATACCTTTTTCTTGAATTTTTAGGTTGTGGATCACTAAGCAAAGATCATTGAATATTTGATAGCCAACAACATTGTCAATGATCAACTCACTACTTGAAGTAATTTTCATAACAAAATAGAAAAGTTGAACAGAAAAAAATCTGATAAGTTCATACTTTGGGGGTGTTTGTTTCAGCTTTTCAGAGCCAACTTATGGCTTTTAGCTTTGAAAAGTTATTTTGGACTGTTTGGTTAAACTTATTTCAAACAGCTTCTGATTCTAACAGTTTATTTTAACTCAAAAAAACTGATTCTGAGAAACTACTCACCCCTTGCTTCTGATTATCAACTTCTGCTGTGGACATGTTAATTTATGGTTATACTCTTAAATTTTTTTATTTTAAATTTTTTTAAAAATAGAAAAAGATTCAAATGGACTATAGATTATTATTATAATTTTTTTATGAGAAATGTAGACAAACAAAAAATAAAAATTAATTGAAAAAACAATTTCACAGCTTATTTAACAAACACTACTCAGCAACTTAAATCTATAATCCAACAGCTACACCAAACAGATTAACAACTTCTGATTAAAGTCATAATCTATAATCTGTTAAGCTATAATCTATAAGTTGTTTTAACAGCTACACCAAACGGGACCTTTATCATCCCCATGAAAATGTTGCAATGATTTGCAGTAATGCACAGTACTGCACTATATGCTAGGTATGTATGACCCAGAAAAGTTATAAGGAGTACTTATAATGTAGTATTTAAAGGTACATTGGTTCTGATACTGAGGACGATAAGAAGCCAAGTTTTCCAAGCCTTTAACTCATCTTTCTCCAATTGAAAATACCTAAAACATTTGCTAGAATAAAAAGTAATAGCTACATGCCATTACTTCTCAATGCATTATTATTATGAATCAGAGTTCAATAACGAAAACTCCTAATCTTCCACATGTATATACAGTTTGAAATATATATATATATATATATATTTTTACAAACAAGGCATTGATCACACCTTATATAAACCAAGTCTTCACTCAACAAATTTTTTTTATTGTTACCTCCACATGTAATCAGGTTACATCTCCACATCGCTTCTCTAAACCTTAAATTGAATGCTCCGTTTTGATGGCTTGGTCAATCATCTTTTTTGTCTTCTTTGCGAATACATTGAGCCTCATATTTTGTACTGTAATTTTTGGTATATCTAATTCAATTACCTAATAAATAAATAAATAAAAGAATCAGTTCATTTTCTTATAATCCAGACACTACAACAAATTCAACATTCACAATTTGTTTTCATGCTATCAGATGGCATGTATGCGATGTTCGACATTCAATTACAGTATATTTTGGATTTGCCTTGAAAGCGGCTAATAAAAGATCCCCACAATCAGCAATCTGTCACAAACTAGTTTGCTTCACATTTTTTTGTCCAGCTAAACCAAATATTTATAGCAGTTTGGCCCACAAAATGAGTCCATTGATAGGAACACTCCTAAGAATCAGTAATCCATAAGTGAATGATTAAGACACCAACAACCACCTTCAATCTATCACAAATTAGCTTGCTTTACATTTTTGGTCCAGCTAACCAAACAAAGATTCATACTGGTTTGGTCCACAAATTTAGTGCTCAATTGGTGGGAATATGCCTAAGAATCAATAATCCATTATTGAATGATTAAACCACTTAAATGCAAGTGTTATTTCCATAACAATCATTTTCCCTTAACAACAAACTTAAATGCAAGTGTTATGTCCTATCCTATCATTTTCACATTGCCCTACCACATTGATTTAGTATCTTATTGGAAATTTATTCGACTACTATGAGTAATCGATAAATATCATATACTTTACACCAATTTATGGAAGATAATCCCATGATTAAATACAGATGATGGATCTAAAATCATTTAACAATGGATGACTTAGCATATGCTAGTGTCAGGTGCTACACAATTAGCAACCAAATTCTACAATTTTGGGCTCCAGTGGATAGGTTAGCTAATTTTTTAAACCTATCAGTCCTTAACTTGGCTGTTAACTGCAGCCAGCTCCTTAGTAGTCAAGAGAGAGAAGGGACAGGGGAGAGAGAGAATGCAAGTCGGCGTCCTACAACACATTTTAACATCTCCATTGGAACACCCATATACACTACTACATGAACAAACCCTTAACATACAAAATTGGACTATACTTTTTGTCATATAACATACTTTAAGAAACATTTTTAACATCTCCACTAGCCTGCTTAGTTAATATGGAAGAATGCATTATCAAAAGAATGCATTGTGATAAAAAAAAAATAATAACAATAATAATAATAATAATAAACAGAGCTAAAACAGAAATATTTGTGATAAAAATTATTGGAGAAAAAAAATTCAGATGTGAATTTCAAAAGAGTCTGTCACATAGGACTAAAATCAATCCTCTATAGAGAACACTAAAGCAAAACAGAGGAGTCATAAAATCAACATCTCCATCAATCAAATATAACTCGAATCTTCTGAATATTTCATAAGTATATATATATATATAACACTCAAATTTCAGATTCTACATGAACATGGATCTCATAATAGCACAATTCGATTAACACAAAAAACAATTGAACATTACTAATTTCACATTATAAATAAATAAATAAAAAATAATAATAATTTAGAAATTGACAAACTCAAATCCATCTGAAACAATTCCACAACCTTGAGCAATTAGATTCAATTCAAAATCCGATTCACAAAAACCTCAATCAAATTCACCGAAAGACATTTATATCAACAACAACCCAATCTTTGCCGACTAACATTTAAATTTCACACTACACAATCTAAGTCATAATTCATAGATACACGTAAATATGTACGTATAGGCACAAAAAGAGAGATTGTGAGAGACAGAAATAGAGAGAGGAAGAGAGAGAGATTCATACCGCCGGATATCTCAGATGACAATGGCGAGTGAAAGAGTGAGAGAGTGAGCTATATATGTCTGTGATGCATGAGAAAGAGAGAGAGAGAGAGAGAGAGAGAGAGAGAGAGAGAGAGAGAACGATCAGTGTTTGAATTTTTCTAGAACTAGGGAAAATATAAGAAAAACGGGTAAAAGGGTAAAATAAATATTAAAAAAAGAAAAAGAAAGAAAAGAAAAGAGGGAATAAATTGGTTATTTGCGACTGGTAATCAAATGGTCACAATTATATAGTAGCAAAAGGTCACTTTTCTAGTAGTGCACGATGGCTGCAGAGGTACGGGATGAGCGATGGTAGTGGATCGGCGATCGTAGGTATAGGCGATAGCAGTGGATCGACTGGCGCAGGGTCTATGATAGCGGTGTGTCAGCGGTCATGGGGGGCTACTAGGTGGGTCACAGGTAGGGAGAGAGCAGTGGGAGGTTGTCACGGTGGGGAAAAATTGGCCAGAGGTGGAGGAAG